CTGGGCTTCTGCAAGAAGCAGAAGGTGTCACAACACCAAGGCTTTGAGGGCACCTCATTTTAAAGGGATCGCATCCTGCCCAATAAAACCCTACAAATTTAATAACTTTAAATTCAAAGGGAAATATCAATCCTTGGAGAGCCTCTTCCAGAGCAATCAGCGGGTGAGGAGGCTCTGCTGACTGATGCCCTATTGCATTTCTTCACATTGCCTAATTACAATCTATGAGGCTGCAGACAATCAGGCCATGCATTGCAGATGCACACCTACACTGCCAACACCCGCCACCGCGCACGGAACAGCACGCAGCCAACCCACAGAGCAGAGTGGGAAGGACAATATTTACCTTATTAAAGTCAAACGTCTCAAACATTTGCTCAACGTATTTGTTCGCTGACGGGCTCAGGTTTTTCAAGCCAAAAAACTGTTTGAACTCATAGAGGGTGAGCTGGCCTGATGGGCACTCCGTCATGAACTTCTTGTACCACTGGTGGCATTCGGTGGCACTCAGCTCCTCCACTGCTTTCCCATCCATGTTCCCCATCTCCACACAGAGCGCTGGTCACTTTGCAGGCAAAACTGGAGGTTGGTGGGTGAGTTCTGAGGTCGGTGGGTGAGTTCTCAGGTTGGTGGGTGAGTTCTCAGGTTGGTGAAGTTTTGGGGCTTTGAAGTTCTCCTTCTCACCTTTAAAGTGCCTCGTTGCTGGTCCCAGTCCAGCAGTGGTGGTGATGGATACGGGTTCCTTTCTCTCTTCAGGCAAATGTAAAAGCACAACAACCAAAAAGCACAAAGACACAGAGCAGAGGGTGCCATTTAAGTACCTGCAAATCCTCCCTCAGCCAATGAGGAGCAGGATGGACCCCCACCAGGAGCATTAAGCATTCAGGTTTAAAATAGAAAGGAGGTAAAATGGGAAAGTCTTGCAGATTACAGCCCAGCAGAAGATTAGGAGGGCAGAAGTTGCTCCGTGACGGTGTAAGCTCCTAATCCACTTCACTTACAGTTTTCTGTGGGCTCACACGAAAAACAGCTTTTGCACCAAAATCAGTGTCAAAGAAAAAGAGAGAAAAGCACTCAGATGTTGTGGTGGTGGTGTCACCTTATTGCTCTTATTCTACTGGAAGATTCCTGGGTGGGAATCACAGAATCACAGAATGGCCAGGGTTGGAAGGGATCTCAAGGATCACGAATCTCCAACTCCTACAGGCAGGGCCACCAACCTCCCCATTTCATACCAGCCCAGGCTGCCCAGAGCCCCATCCAACTGGCCTTGAACACCTCCAGGGATGGACGGGGCATCCACAGCCTCTCTCATTCAAATCAATTTGAAATTCAGAGAGGGAAATTTCCATTTTGGCTCCTATCAGGGATGCTGTTGGGGTATATTCAGTGTGCTGAGATGGACACAAGCAACATCATTCCTTTAAATGGCAAAATGTAAATGTGAATGCAGCTGCCAGATGCTGTACATGGAAGCTCCTGCACCACTGTGAGCCCCACACCCACCCTCACAGCACCCAGAGGAGGACTGGGAGATCACAGGGCATATCCTGAGGATGTGGCATGGGCCTTCTGCTAGCACTGTCATTGTGGAGCTGCCCATAGGGAACCTGTCCCATGGCACCTCTGCATTTAGATCACAGCCTTAAGACGAAGAGCCCAGCTTTGCCTGCAGAGCCTGGTGTTGAGCCTGCATTGAAGTAAATCAGGAATAAGTCTGCTCTGGTAGGTGGCATTACATAAGCATAAAACAGTTATGAAAAAGGAATTAGATCGAGGAACTGTAATTGGATGTACTAATCCTGCTCCTGCCTGTGGCTGCCTCAGCTCCTGCTGTGCCCAGCGCCTGGTGCAGAGGGAGCCTCTATGGGGCAGCCTGTCCCAAAGCACTGCCAGCCCTTGCAGTTGTTGGGTGCCCATTAATAGAGGCAGGGTTGCATGCTAGGGGTGGGTGTGAGCTCACCAACAGTTTCCAGAGGCTTTGCTAACACTGCATCTGGAACACAAGGCTGGGATGCTTCCTGTGCCTCCGGGAGAGCAGCACAGAGATGTGCCAGCCACCCAGGGAATAATAACTTCCCTGTGTGTAGGGCAGCCCTGTGAGCAGTGCTATGGCTCATCCCTTGGCTCCATGTCACTTCTGATCTATGCCTTGGGATGGGAAGCAGGAGGAACACCAACAGATGCTCTCACTGCTTGGGTTTATTGCTCTGCATCACGGTTGGGATGGGTCCCCACTTCATGATGTTAGCGCTCTGGACGTCCATCACCTTCTTGGTGTGATCCGTGTCGTGGTGAAAGAGGTACCCACAGGTCGGCCGCTGTGAGGTGTAGAAAGGGCTGTAGGAGTTGGAGCAGTGCCGTGTGTAGAAGAGGAACTTGAAGGAGTCAGGTTCCTGGCCCCCAGTGTGGGCAACAAAGGGGACGAAGCGAGAGGCCAAGGTCTGCTGTGAGCTGTGCTGTGCTGGGGATCCCCGGCCTTTGGGGCTGGGTGGGGGGTGGGAAGCATCCTGCTTTGCTTTGCTCTCCTCCATTCCCTTTGTCCTCTTCTGGTCTTTGCTATGTGTGGCCTTCTGATGTTTCAGTCACCTGAAAAAAGTCGGACAAACGCATTTTCAGTGGACAAATGCACTGCCATCACCCAGCAGTGCTCAACATCCCAACGTGATCATTGCGTATAGCAGTGGCCAAAAATCAGAATGAACATAAACCAAAACACACTGAGGGACTTGGGCTCATCCCCCGCTGCGTGGAGGACACTCACTGCTTTTCCCTTTGGTGTTGGGCACAGTGGAGCCCTGGTCCCAGATTAGGTCTCAGTTATAACAAATAAATAATGATAAAATGAGCTCCTTCCTCCTCCGTGTCAAGACTCCACCAAGCAGCAGCCATGGCTGACGGGCCGTGCAGACAGCTTACCCCAGCCTGATGCATGAGGTGCAATGGGGCGTGAGCAGCAGCAGCATGCAAGCACAGCCTGGAGGCACAGCCCTCAGCAGTGCCAAGGGGAAAACAGGATTATTGAATCTGGTGAGGCCAGCCTGTCCCTGCCACCAAGGTCAGCACACCAGAGACATGCACAGCACCCGGACCAGGGGCAGCACGAAGCACCCATCCCACCCATATGGATGAGAAACCCTTTGCAGGAGGACGTGGTGTGGGTGTGTGCCCAGCACAGCAGCCCTGCCTCGTGCCCCCCAGCTACTCCGAGGCTGAGCCTGACTGCAGAATTATTTTGCCATGGTTATTTAACCATGACTCAGTTATCTTGTTTTCATTGATGGCAGCTCTGTGCCGATGGAAACTGGCTCTTCCCCCAGCAATTATCCTATTTACTTCTGGGCGTCCTAAATAAACTCCTCGCTGCCTGAATTTATTTTTAACCACATAAAGAGGTTTCCCAGTTTCCGTGACGCCCTGGCTTACTTGGTGCTCTATTTTGGTTCTGCGTATCTGGCTCTGAACAGAGGCTGCTAAACCTATTATGAGGGGAACACCAGTGAATCATTTATAGAAATCTCCCTCAGCCTCACAGGGAAATGATGAGATCCCCCAGGCTTATCGCTTCGTTTTGTCATTTATTTCCCAGATGCAGCCATCTGCCTGGTGCCTGGAAGTCCCTGTGGTCAGAGCTCAGCATAAGCAGTAGCTCAGCTGTCCCTCCTGCAAGGAAACAACCTGGCCCCCAGCACTTCCCATGGGAGACAAAATATCGGGGCTTTGGGTCTTGAAGATGGAAGAGCGGACCTTGCACTGTGGATCCCTGCTCCAAACACTCTGAGGTTTGCTCAGTACCAATCACAGTCACGCATCTGCATGATTACAGCTCCTTGCCTTGTGTGCTTTGACAGATAACAGACAAGTACACACACGACTGAGCTGCTGCAACTGCACCCACCCAGCAGGGAGGCATTAGCGTTATTAAGGCAGCGTGTTTGGGGTGCGTGGGTAAGGCCTTGACTGCTTTGAAAACCTAACTGCTAAGTCATGTAGATGCCTTTGAGATGTGCAAGGCTTGCACGCGCCCTGCGACAGGGCAGTGATGGGCAGGATTCTGGGCCGGGGAGTGCTGAGCTCTGGGCTTTGCTCACGCCATGGGTTCTCCTGCCCTGGCCTCCTCCTCACCCTCTGGGGCACTGAGAGATCCCTCGTGCCCGTGTGGGTGCACCTGATTACGTGATCATGGAGGGGAAGCACCAGTTCCACGTCCACGGCACTATTTATGGTACTGGCAGAGCTCTAGCATGGATTGAGAGTCCTGTGCAATCCTATTTTGCTCAGCCATGCATTTAGAGACCTCTAATCCCTCCCACATTGCCTCCCAGAGAAGATCCCCACAGGTGGGGTCACAGGGGCAAGGCTGAGTTACCAGTATTCTGACCTGCTGGCAGCAGCAGCCCTACCCTGGGATGTTGTCAGTGTCCCTGCACAGGGACCGACACGTACATAGTGGAGCAGGGATGCTGCTGCTCCCTGGCACCACCAGGTCCTATTAGCAGAGCTCTCCCTGCACTGGGGCTTCTGGGGCCATTGTGGTGTCACCAGGGTGGTGGCCCCAAGGCAAAGGGGTTTGGCCAGGGCTGCCCATGCAGCTGCTCTGCCACCAGCACCAGACTGTGGCCCCAGCTGCACAGACCCAATGTTCCTTTTGGCACGAGCTGCTTCGCTGCATGGCTTTCTCCTCCCAGCCTCTATGGGGTCTGGCAGCGGAACCTCACTGCACAAGCATTTCTCACCAGGGAGATCTGCATCTGCAGGGCGCAGCTCCCTGCACTGATGCAAAGGCAGATTGTTCTGGGGTGTTCACCTGTGATCAAAGAGAGCCTCACACAGCAGTGTTCCATCACGGCAGTGCTCACAGGGCTATCTCTGTGCCACAAAGTCAGCTGGCAGCCACCCCAGCCCTCCCAGTCCTCCCAGCTCCTCCCTGCCAAGCCCCCAGCCCAGCAGCCCACCTGCCCCACCAGCAGCATCAGCCTCCCTTATAATACAGCTGTCATCAAGTGGGGCATCTTCTCTACATCATCTGAGCCTGCTCTGTGCAGAAGCCTGCATCACACCTAGTGTGCTTTTCTTTTGCTCTTTCCATTGAGGTATTCTCATGAATACCTCTGTAGGGTGCAGGAACTGCTGGTGATGGTGGAAGGGGCTGAATCATCCCTCCCTGTCACTGCACAGCACTGCTGCAGCTTCACAGCCCCTCTGACATCTCTGTGGTGGAACAGCATTTTGTGAAGCAGCTCTGTGCAAGAGCCCAGGCTTCCTCATCCCATGGAACTTTATTGGCTTATCTCCTCAGAACAGTTCCTCTTCCCCTTTTGCGTGACTTTCTTTGCCTTTCTGCATGCCCCGCTCCATTTGTTCAGTCAAAGACTGTGACTATCAGCCCAGCACGTACACCTGCCATATCTCACAGAGATATTATGTCCTTTGCACATAACAATGCTTTTGTTTCACCCGTCAGCTGGTGAAATAAAACCGCTCCATTTGGCAGCATGTGGCTCCTTCCTCACATTTGATTTCTGCTTCCCAGAGGTGCCCCTCTCCCCTGATTCATGGCTGCAGCCCTCAGGCACACCCGGGGCGTGCAGGAGATGCACTCAGACAGATGTTTGCAGGATTGCTTCCGTTCCACCTCCCCATAAGCAGCAGTTAAGGTAACAGTCCCGAGGGCTGAGCCCCACTAATTACAGAGCAGGTCAGGCCTGGAGCTTCCCTGGCAGCATCAGCCTGCAGGATGGGTGTGGGGTGTCGGTGGATCCAGCTGCATCCTGGAAAGGCTCTGAAATATCATAGCCTGTAACAGCCCCAGAGCTCACACGGTCAGACTCTCAGCCCCTTTTGCATTTGCCACTTTTGTTGGCTCTCTTTGTCTTGGTGTTCTCTGGCCTTTCACGACGTGGTTGGATTTCCCTTTTGCCGTATCACAGCGGTGCTCGTTTTTCACTGTTCCCACACAATCTGTGCTTTGTGTATAAAGAAAACGTTGTGGAAAGCGGGATTTCAAAAAGTGATTAAATATGTGATAGTTATCACTGGGAAAGAAATCTGTATCATTTTGACTGCCAGAATAGCATGGAAGCAGAAATAAATGCAAGACAGGAGGACCGTACACTGTAGCTGTGCTTCAGAGTTAATGTTCTGACGATTATTTGGGGTTTAAAGTTCTCCCGTAAGCCCCATCATTTATTAATAACCAAGGTTACTCATTAACCCTCAGCTCTTATTGTGTGATGGCAGCGTGGGGCGCTTCAGAAAAATGATCTGGGGTCGGTTCCCACTGTCTTTCAGCTTCTGTGTCTGAAACAGCCCAGCTGCCAGCAGTGCGGGCTGTGCAGGGAAGGTTGGTGTTTGCAGGGATCTGTAAGGATCCGTATGTGTGAACGGGGCTTTGCAACTCAGCAAGTCCCGTCCTTGTGGGCACCCAAGGGCAGCGGATGGGGCTTTGAGCACCTGATGGAGCTGTGGGTGTCCCCGTGCACCGCAGGGCAGTGGGACCTGATGGCCTTTATGGGTTCTTTCCAACTCAAACCGTTCTATGCTCGTGGGACGGCGGGACAGACAGACAACCGTCGGGCAAAAGCTTCGCCGCGCTGGGGACGAGTCGGAAAAGCCGTGTGTCTGTACGTGGGGCTGAAGGGGAAGCAGAGGCAGGCGGCAGGAGGAGCGGGGCCGGGCGGGCACCTGGCGGAGGCGGGGCCGGGCGGGGCCAGGTGTTCCGGCCGCTCCGCTCGCTCCCTGCCCGCTGCCTCCCGCTCCCAGCGGCCCGGTGCCGCCGGAGGTTCGGTGCCGGGAGCGGAGCGGAGCGGCCGAGCCCCGCCATGAAGAAGCATCACTCCGTGCAGGGCACTTTCAGCCGCCTCTTCGGCAAGAAGCACGGCACAGCCGCCGCTTCGCTCTTCGCTACCAACCCGCCTTGGATCTTCAGCCAGGAGGTGACCTCCGACAGCGCGGGCGGCACCGGTCAGTGCTCCCCATCCTCCGTGCTGCCGGGGGGGGGAAAAGCTTGGGGAGGGGCGACCCGGAGCGCTGCGGGGCGGGGGGAAGGGCTGCCCCGTTCCCATCTCGTCCCCGCGATGCGGCCGTGTCGCTCTTTGCCCGGCTTTCCTCTCCCCTCCCTAAAGGTTTCATGAAACGCCGTGATTGAGGGGGGTGTCGTTTGCGTTTCGTTTGGTTGTAATCGCAACGCTGTGCCCCGGGGGCTCGGGGAGGAGAGGGAAGGGGTGATGGTGGTGCAGCTGCGGTGGCAGCGGTGGCTGCAGGATGGGGTTTGGCGGTGTGAGCTCCCAGCGGAACCTCCAGCGCTGCTCCCCGGCTGTTGGGCGAAGCGGTGCCGTCGCAGCGCGGTTACGCCCCGAAGGCCGCTGATGGAACTCGGGTAAAACGCGACGGAGTTTCGTGCAGCTCTCGAACACGGAGGGAAAATCGCTGCTTTCTGCCTGCTGCGAATGTGAGCGGGATTCGGGCCTCTCTCTGATGTGGCTTGAGTTAAAAGTAAACAAACAAAAAGCAAGCAACAAACTTGCTGCCTGCTTGCTACCCAATGGACTCCCATGGCTGCGGCACACTACAAAGGCATTCCTTGCAGGTGTAGGAGCTGCTGTGCAGAGTAAAAGCCAGAAGTCCTGGAACTTGTGCATAAATGAAGGCGGTTGAATCGCTCCCTGCTATCCTCGTGGTGTTCGTGCCATTGGTTCATTTCTATGGCTCCAGGTTGCCCAAGGAGGTTGTGGATGCCCCATCCTTGGAGGTATTCAAAGCCAGGACGTGGCTCTGGGCAGCCTGGTCTGGTGATTGGAGACCCTGCACATAGCAGGGGGTTGAAACTGATGATCACTGTGGTCCTTTTAATGCAGGCCATTCTATGATTCTGTGTGGCACATGCACTGAGTGACTGTGCTCTGAGCAGTGTGTGCTCACTGCATTGAGTGGGGCGGTGCTCCCAGGCTCTCTTGGATCCCAAACAGTTTATTCTCACCCCGTGAAGCCCCACGCTCTCCCTGTCTCTCAAGGGTTTGCTGCATCTTTGCATGCCGTGGTTGCTGCCAAAAAGAGTCCCCTGCCCGTGCGAATCCCCACCTTGGTTTTTTCATACAAAGTAAACAGAAGTTAAGCAACGTGGGAAGGGTGTAGGTCTGCCTGTCACTGACTCAGAGATTCCTGAACGTAGTGACTGCTGCCGCCTCCTCGCTGCGGTTCCCGGCCGTGCTGCGCCTGCTCCAGGTGATGCAACCAACCCTGGAGTAGGAAGGAGTTCCATTGCATGTGTTGTAAATCGCTTATTTTGTTTCCCACAACTGAGGGGACACAAATGACTTCAAAACAGACCGAATGCCACACAGTGGCCAATGCTTGGCCAGGGCCAGCTGCTCCCTGTGGCTTCTTAGCTTCCCTAAGCTCTCCTTCCAGGAAACAGCGCAGTGACAGACCTGCAGCAGGCAGGTCCTGTTTATCTAGCAAAGAAAGCACAACTACAAGCACTTCATTTTAGTTTAATTAAATGCATTCAGGTTAGAGATGCTTAGTAATCTAGGATCAAAGACCTTGTGATCTTTAATACATTTTCTCACTGAGTTTACTTACTCAATGTCTTAATAGGAAATTCTCACATTATTTCAGGTCTCTGAACCACTCTATCTCCGCTCCACAAAGCTGTCTGAATCAACATTCCCATGTTGTGTTGTCCTTGACTCTTGCTGCTTGTTTGTTGAATGTGGGGTTACCTGAGGAGTTATGCAAAATTAACAATAACAGTAATTACTTGCTGGCATCTCAGGGAAGTCCATAAGGACAGAGGATGGTGGATACACCTGGCTGTATGTTAGGATAACCTGTGATGGGAGAAAGGAGAAGTTTGCATGCCTGCTGGACCTGAGCTACAGCTTGTGGTTATGCTGAATTCTTTCATCCCTCCTGATTCATTTCCAGCCCCCACTGTGGCCAATTCCTTCACTCCAGGTGAAGAAAGTGCTTTAGTTCTGTGGGGATGCACTTAAGCATTTGCCCTCCCCTTATCTCCCTGAACTCAGTGTAAACCTCTGTTTCCTTCTTGGCTGATCTCTGCTGGTCCCCAGAGAGCAGAGCTTCTTGCAGTCAATGGGAGGAAGGCCCACAGGCTCTCTGAAGTCCCTTTGAGGTGTTTGAGTTTGTTCAGCAGGAGAGGTTCCTGTTTAATGATTTCTACTCTGCAGCGTAAGACTGCATTCCATCCATCCCAGCCCCAGTTGGACCTGCTCTGATTCATTTACTATTTTAGAGAAAATCTGCCCTGCCTCCTTGTCTTGTCCATATGTATGCAATGCCTGATGCCTCCTTCCCACTCTGTTTATCAAGCCTTAGCAGCAGACGTGGCTGTGTGCCATGACAGCCCAGGGTTGCCCAGAGACCCCACCAGGAGCTCCACCTGCATGAGGAGGGGGTGGCAGTGTGGGGGACATGAGCTGTGCCAGGGGACATGGTCAACTGTGCATGTGCCCTGCATAGAGGTGGTGGAGGCATGCAACCACAGCCTTCTGCTAACATTGAGCTTATGCAACTTTTGCTCTTCTGCTCCTCAGCCTTTAATTTCAGTATGGAACTTGACAGAAACTATTTCTGCACTTCCCACTTTAGCATGGGAGCTTGAGCACCGTGCTTCCAAACTTCTCAAGGGGAAAATAAGTCTGTTTACTTCTCAGCATCGGTGTTTTGGAGCGGAAGGATTGGTTTCTGCTTTATCCTCTTTGCTATCAAAATCTGTTGGTGGGAGCACTCCTGCTGACCTTCTCTGGTCATGGCTGCTTTGCATGCTCCCCCCCTTCCTTTTCAGACCCCTGTATTCGGTGGTGGTCTGCTTGGCTGGGAATTATTGATGCATATCCTTCCAGCCAAGGTGGGGTTTACACGCTTCAGAGCTTCTGCTTGTAAGTTCATGCTGTTAATCAGACACAAAGAACGCAATTAAAGTAATTTTATGAGCTTTATTCTCCGTCAGAAATGAACTGGCCCAAGAGGTGTGGCTGGAGGTAGAAGCACAGGGCTGGGAACCAGCAGGACCTGAGAGCTTCTGCTCACAGTGCCAGGGCTCTGTGCTCATCGTGGCATTTCATGGACAGTTTGGAGCTTCTCTTCACAAGGCTGGCTGGAGGCTCAGTGTTGGGGCGAGCAGTTTGTTCTCCAGTGCCAATTGTGAGAGGCCAACTTCCAGCAACACACAGAAGGATGCTCAGGGGATGCCATGTCACACCTCCAGCTGGATGAGTGGCCCCAGCACCTGTCCTGCTGCGAGTACATGGAGAGAGAGCAGAAAGCACCTCCTGGGGAAGTCCTGTGTCCATTGCTGTAGTGTCCCAGAGGGGTATCTTCCTTCACCCAGACCAAATCTGGGTGGGGAGTGAATTGGATGCTTGTACTGACATTTAGTCCTCTGAGGTAAATTTTGCTTCATTGCTATTGGAAATTAGTCTGTCAGAAAGATGCCTGTGTTCTCCCACCTCCAGCACCTGGAGCCCAGACCTGCCTCCTCCCTGCTCAGCTCCAGTCCCCTACACAGTGTGATGCTCCTTGCCCATTTCTGGGAGCTGATACAACAAATCCTTCCCAGTGCTTTCTGAAGCTGCTGCCCAGCACTGTTTTCCTGCCACCCTGAAAGCAGTGCTGCTGCTGACTGTCCTTTCTTCCTCTCAGGGGATGTGATCGAAGTGTATTATGGTGACAATCGCTTTGGGACGATGACCGACTCCGGAACCGCAACGTTGAAGCCTCGTCCCAGAGTGCGGCCGCTGCTGACATTCCTGCCCCTGGTGAGTGTTGGCCAGCAGTGCTGGGGGCTGATGCCCAGAACCAGCCAGGCTGGTTGCTTCCCTCACCCTCCTTCCAGGGGGGAAAGAAAAGAAATGAAAAGCCAAACCAACCGCTCTGTAATGATGATGGATGCGAGGGATTAGGAGGTGATTCGAGTTCAAAGCTCATGTTGGGCATAGATGAGATGCTTGGGTGAGAGATGTGAGCATTATCTGCCTTGTACTTTCATTTTTGTCAAAATTGCTGAGTGTGTAGATGAACAGATCTGGCTGGCGCTGCTCTTTGTGTAACTGCTGGCAGTCTCTGATCCGGCATCAAACTGGATAGAGCGGGAGGAAAGCTCTTGTTTCTGGCACAAGAGCAAGGAGGTGATGCAGCAGCTGCCTGCAGAGCCTGATGGGCTGCACTGACTCCAAATCTCTTTGTTTTGGTGTGAAACAAAGGAGTAGCATCTCCCGTGTCCCATAGCAAACACCAGATGTGAATGTCAAACATCACAAGCTCAGCAAGCAGGGAATGACCAAGCTGCATTCTTTCTTTTTCTGTAAGGAGTTTGAGGAGTGACAGAACCTTTGCAGAAGCCAAAGGCTGACATGGAGGGAAGAGCAGCATGTCCATGTCTGATCTAATCCTAAAGGTGACATCTTTGTGTTGCTAGACGAGTTTGTGGTGGTTGAAGTCACACTCCTGGTCAGAGCTCCTCCACCCAGCATGGCTGGGGATGGGGCTGGACAGTGGGTTTTGTTCTCTGCATCTGAACAGCTGTGGGCAGTTGTCACACCTGTGTTATCAGGACACTATCACAAAGCCTTGTGGCTTTTGGACAGTTATTTTTCCCAATCTCTGTCTATGGGATACAGCTCTGAGCAGGGCTACTAGTGCCCAAAGCAAGGAGTGCCAGCACACGTGGACTACAGGTGGTTGGACCACAGCTGGGACACCGCTGCCTCCAAAAGCCACAAGTGCTCAGTGCTGGCTCTGGTGCTGCACTGCCACTTGTGCTGAGCAAGCTGTCCTCCTGCGTAAGGCACCTTTCTAGTGGTCTTACCTCTTGTAAGTACATGAAGTGGGAAGTGTGTGGTTGTTCAGAGGTAGTTTGGAGATGGTGACAGCTAAATCTGAAGTGATACACGGGTCACTGAACGCACTTAGAAGTCCTTAGTCTTGACAAGCACATCCTGTCTGAGCAAGGGATGTTTTCCTTGTACACCCTCATCCTTCAGAGCAGTCATCACCTGCAGCAGAAGAGCTGGTCTGCTGTCATCTGGGTGCAATTTGTTCATGGGTTGCACCGGTGTCACTGGAAGGACAAGGAGGGGGGAGACTATAGAGCAGCTTGAGAGCATAATTAGCAAGCTACAAAGGATTGTGCCCTCACCAATGCCCTCCAAAAGACCACAGCAGGTGAAAGAAATCACGTGAGCTGAGTCAGTCAGGAGCAGTGCCTGAAAAAACTCCTCTGGTATCACAAAGCTCAGCACATGACCATAGCTGGCACCCTGTAGCACTTGCTGGGTTTTTGCATCTTCTCAGAGCTTCCAAACATCTTCCTAGCGGACATGAAGGTGATATTGGAGTAAACAGCACAAATGGAATAAATACTTGGGGCTGTCACCCTGGCAGTGTTGTTTTCCTGCTGCCTTCAGGGGTATAGGTGGTCTGGGGGGGTTCTCCCAGAGTGATGGATCCTCATCACTGCACTCCTCTTCTGAGAGCAAGGTGTTTAACTGAAGAAATCAACAGTAGGTGTAAGCCACATATTTTTGAGGACCAGTCTGGGTTGATTATTTGCATTATTTTGATCAGGTTTGATGATGATTTGTCTTGGCACAGACGCTTCTGCTGCCACACGCATATTTGCACTGGGCTGTTCTGCAGCCTTAACCCTTTCTTCCCACCCAACCCCTCTGCATTCCCCAGCCAGCAGCATGCTGGGGAGCAGCTCGTGGGCAGCTGAGTCAGGCGATGCTCACACCCTGCCCTGCAGTGCCTGCTCCCTGCATGGCAGCGTTCCCCAGCCCTCCCTACACACCAGTGGGCACCAGCAGCCCTGGAAGGAGCAGGCAGAGCACAGCCATCTGTGTGTGCAATGTCCCCTCCTCCTGCAAGTGAAGGCAAAGCTTTGGCGCGTGGGGGATGAAATTCCTTTGGTTAGCCACCAAATTTCCCAGGCTTTGCTTCAGAATAAAGTTAGGAGGTAGATGTCCTTATATGGGGAAATAGTTGGCTTCTTTAAGATGCAAGGTAGCTATTTTGGTGCTTTATTTAAGGAGTGGCCTTAAACTGAGCTCACTTAATGTGTGGGAAGCATGGGCTTCCATGGGAAATGCCCAGAGAGGTGGTGCCTTGTCCTTGCAGACACGCAAGGGACAGGGCTCTGAGCACCTGATGGATGCCCCTGCTCAGCGCAGGGCAATGGAACCAGACGGCCTTTGGGGGTTTCTTCTATCTCAAACAATTCTATGATTCTAAATCCATGGGAAAGACGGGGAGACCTGAGGACCACAACAACAGGCAAGCTCTTCTACTGGAGACAGAGGATATTTGGTTTTGTCTCAGTGCTGAAAAGGGATTCCTGGTTGTTGCAGTGAAAGCTCACCCTAATAGGATCCTCAGCACACAAATCTGATTTCGAGCACCACAAACTGGAAATGCAGGTTCCTGGTGCACCACCCACGAGCACGGCAGCCTGCTGTGAATCAGCGGGAGCTTTGGGCTGGTCACACCCCTAGCAAACACATGAGAGGGAAATAATCTTTCTGGTCATCTCTCAAGGCTGGCAGTGCATTGGAGATGCTTTCCATTTTAGAAGCCAGGTTGTGATGCGAGGATGGGTGGGTTTTCAGATGCTGAGCATTAGCAACTGCCACAGAAATTTTGAGTGTGAAACAGGCTTGCCCAGTTTTTAGGACCTGTTGAAGTAACGTGTCCAAAATGTCTCATTTATGATGTGTGGACTTTGTTTCCTCCAGTTTTGCATAGATGTCTTCTGTCTGCTCTTCCCTTTCTACCTACTGCTATCCAAACGTGTGATGCATACTTTGCTTTTAATTCAGGTCAAACGAGCGCTCAGACATTTTTGTTCTCCTGTAAATGAGCAGGAACCTTCAGTGTGTTCTGGAGATTGGCAGCAATGAATTTCCATGGAAAATGGGTACCACTGGCTCTTTCCTTTTGGCCTTTGGAATTTGGTTGCATCAGGCAATTTTGTTGTCTGGTCTTCAAGTGTCTCTGTTACTCTTCATCTTCCTTCTGGCTTTCAGCTGAAGCTGGGGATCCTTCCTCTGCATTGTACCTTTAGGAATAGTATGGAACTCTTAAATGAGGTTGTAAAGCTCACCTGGTGCGCTTCGCCACTAACAGAGATCTGTCCTAATGCCTCAGCAGACCTTGGCTTCCCACCAGTGTGAAGTTCCCTGATCCGTTGCTCAATGCCATGAGCTCTGCATTCCCATTTACTCTCTCTGGGCTTGCCTTCACCTGGCTCACTCACTCGTGGTTATAGAGGGTATTTGGTCATCTGCAGGACAATAGACTTTGCAAGGGCAGTAGCAGGTGCATGTTTGGGGATGGAAAGGACCCAGGGCCTTTCTGAAGGAGCTCAGGCTTCTGCTGAAGTCAACTCTGCCCCAGCAGCTCATGTTCCCAGTCTCCTTACACCCGGTATGTAATGCTCACGTGCTGCCTGTGCCCTGCACGGGGCTGTCTGTAGGCACTCAACCTTTGAGCAAACAGACTTTGGAATCCTATAGCAATCTCCTGTGAAAACAGTGCTGGTACCAGCGAAAGGCAAAGGGCGCTGGCTCAATCATTACCTAGACACTGCACAGACGTGGTGCAAGTTGAAGAATGTCTCCTTTGCATGCAGGGCTGCAAGCAGCAGTGGAACAGAGCTGGCCTGGGAAGGCAGAGCCCACACAGCAGTGTGTCCCCAGCTCCTGCCCATGGGAGCTCCTGGTACATCCTCGTTATGGTTCTTCTCAGCACTGCTATCTGAAAGCCCAATGCACTGCTTCAGTTGCTTACGTCTGCTTGGCAGCCTGATTCAGCATCAGGTTGTGTTTCAGCCATGGGTGCGTTACTGTACATTTCATGAGCAACTGCAACCCCAACCTTACAGTGAGTCACTGCAGGAAGGAGGAGAGCCTTCCTGCTTTTGGCAGGCATGAGGCAGGAGTCCTGGTCAGCACTCTGGGTGAGTCACCGTGCTGTGAATATCTCACAGTGGGTGGCTGTAATTATCCCAGCTGCCCTGGCTGTGGGCATCCTCACAGATGTGTAGGCTGCTAAATTGCACGGTCCTGCAAGAGCTAAATGCGCTGCTGAGTCTTCAGCATGAACGCTAAGGGAATGATTGAGAGTGAAACAAACCACACAGGTAGCAGTTTTCCCCAGCCTGTTCAGATATGCTGGTGCCAGAGTTTCTCAAAAACCTGGAAGCCTTTCTGCAGCTTCAATGGCTGTGGCAGAGGCTGTCAGGGCTTGCTGCAGAGCAGTGCCCACAAAACCAGAGAGAGAGATTGAATTGACTTGATAGGTGAATGGTGAGAAACTCATGCTGCTGATGTCAAGTTGTGAAGCCCTAAGCTTGGGTGTGAAACAACCACGCTCCTTTCAGCCTGTCTGCACCTGACTAGCAAGGAAAGTTTTGTCCTGTGGCTTGTGCAACCTTGACTGCTTCCCGTGTCCACTTAAACAGCAGCAGCAGCAGCAGCTGCTGCAGTACCTCCATGGCTATGAAATGGCACTGGATCCCATCAGGTTTCTGTTTGGTTAGATTACCAGCTATACAGCCTACTGCCTGCTTGTCAACCCTTTATTCTAAATCCCTGGGCATAAAACAGCTCTGTTTTCTCAACAGAATGCCCAGGAATCTCATGGGGTGGCTGTGCCAACACCATCAGTGCCGGATGACTTTGAGGAAAAGGCAGCTCCTGGTAAGGGATCTTTTCAAAGTCCTTCAGTGCAATGAGTTCAGCAATTCCTTGGGGAATCCTTTGAAGAAAGTGTGCATGTGCCATGCTATGGAGTAGATAGTCTGATCCTGAGATTTTAATGCTGAAACCAGACCTACAGTTAATAACTTTTTGGGGTCATTGAAAATGAATTAGTTTTTAAAAGTTGAGGTGTAGCGGCTGTTAGAGTTAAGCAAGCTTTAGACAGCTGCTGAGCAAACTAAACCAGCTTCCTAGGAGGATGGCTGACCGGAGGAAATTCTGGTCTTTGCAGTGCTGGTGGAGGTGCTTATGCTCTTGCTATTCCTTACAGGCCCTGGCTCCCAGATGAACGGGAACTACCGAATGTACAGCTCGGTGGGGGACCTGCGCCCACAGGCTCTTGAGAGGGAAGACGAGGATGAGGACATCCCTCCACCACCATCAGTGCCCCCTCCACCCCCTCCAACAGCACAGGTGCTCACGCCACCACCTCCAGCCCCACCAGCTCCTCCACCACCAGAAGCACTGCCACCACCACCGCCGCTGCCACCACCTGAGGCAGTGCCACCACCCCCCGCCGTGGCACCTCCACCACCCCCAGAGCCCACCCTGCCCTCCCCCACCACGCCAGCACCTCCAGACTTCATCCCGCCGGCCCCTCCGCTCAGCAAGGCTCCTGCACCCTTCAGCAATGGCATCTCCAAGTGGAAATCTGAGACAGTGCTGAACACGAGGCAGGTGGATAACGAGGGGCCGCTCTGTCCTGCTGAGACCAAGGTGCCGGCTGCCCCCGATACAGAGGAGAGCCCGCAGCCCCCTAAGCAGTGCCCTGAGCCCCACCTCACCTTCCCCAGGTCCTTCAAGGTGCCCCCGCCTGCCCCAGCCCGATCCTCCTCCATCCCCATGCAGGAGAGCCAGCCCTCCCGCATCGAGCCCTTCACCCGGCAGCCCCACGCACGGCCTCCCCTCCCTCCCTGCTTCACCATCAGACCCGCAGCCAAAGCTCATGCGGGAGAAGCCAAGGAAAGAAATCCGCCTTTGAGACAGCCCATCACCAAGGCAGCCCCTCCGCCGCTGAGCCCCAAGCCAGGTGCTGTGCTCAGCAGCCGGACCGCAGTGCCCAGCTCAGATCCAAAGAACCTCCAGGCAAAAACAGACACCAGAGACTCTCCTCCAAAATCTGAAGTTATCACTGCAAACGATCTGGAGCTGCCCCCTCCGGACTACCCGCTCAGTGAGGACAGTTGGAAGGATCCCAGCAGCCTGAGCCAGCTGCAGCATGAGCTGTCAGCCCTGCTGCGCTCCCCCAGGAGGGATGAGAGGCAGCCAGAAGGGCCAGCAGCCCCCCAGCCCGTAAATGGCAGCACCAACCATGCTGGTAGCCATGGGCCTGATGGAGCCAGGCTTGTTGGAAGAGCTTTGTCATCACCTACAGGAGAGGAGAGAGAGAGGAGAGAGGGGCCTGGGAGCAGCCCCAGTACCACGGGGGGACAACCTGGTGCATCACAACCAGCTGTGGAAAGCAGCCCTACTGCGCAGCCCCACAGCGTGAAGAAGATCAGGAGTGAGCTGGAGGCTGTGTTCTCCCTGAAGAAGGAAAGGAAACCAGTCCTGGGGCTCAGTGGTGAGAAGCAGAGCCCTGAGGATGGTGGCAGTGCCTCACGTTCAGGGTTGAGTCCTCCTGAGCCGGGTGACACCGTGCTGCCAAAACCAGCCCTGAGCTCACTGCCAGCTCCAGCAGCTGCTGCAGTTGTGGAGAAGACAACAGAGCAGGAGAAGCATCCTGCTCCCAACATCCCTGCTGCTAACAAGGCCATGGAGAGCTCAAGCCCTGCTCCCCGCTCCTCTGACAGCAGTGTGAGCCCCCCAGGCCCACCTCAGAGAGCAGCGGAGGAGCCACCAGCCCCCCTGATCCCATCACCCCCGATTTCCCCAGCACCGCAGCCCAACACCAACATCTTCCAGTACAAAGTGCACCGGGCTGGGGCTGGTGAAGCTGAGCCTGCCTGCCCCCCGAGTTCGGCCAGCAGCCCGCCAGGAGTCCTGGGCGCAGGGCAGGAAGAGGTGCTGATCCACCCGGTGACAGGAGAGCGGGTAGAGCGGGGCTCTCCCATGGCACTGCTGCTGGCAGCCCGGCAGCGGGCACAGCGGGGCCGCCAGGGCAGCGATGCGGGAGGTCCGCCAAGAGCCAGGCCACACACCAAATTTGGCAGCAGCGCATCGGAAACCACCTCCAGCACCAGCTTCTACCGCCACGAATCCAAGCCTTACTCCTTCACCGTGGTGCCCCGGCCCTCGGCAGCACAGAGCAGGCCGCCGTCTTTCTCCAGTTCCTCAGAGCAGGGCCAGGCGGTGGGCAATGGGCAGCACTCCGGGCAGCAGCGGCCTGCAGCCTCCAGCCTGCTGCGGGGTCTGCTGGAGCAGGGGCAGCCAAAGCACCCCGACCCTCCCCGCCACACCGTGTCTGGAGAGGAGGAGGAGAACGGGGAGGCGGTGCTGGACTACACCATCATCCCCCCGCCCCCCGAGTTCAGCAATGAGGTGGATGAGGTTGATGGCATCCCGCAGAGCCGTGAAGAGAACCACAAGTGCCCCAGCTTCCCTGACTGCAGCCGGAGCTCCGACGCACCGCGGTACTTCAGGTGGCCTGGCTACGGCCGTAGTTATGGCTATGGGAGCAGCCAGGAGCCCTCGGAGCACAGCAGGAGGAATGGTGACCTGGCACCCCCGTGCCCAGATTACAGCAGCACCGCCGGTTATCACAACCGAGGGCCGAGCAGCCGCCCGCTGATCAAAAAGCGGCTCTACGTCTCCGAGCCTGAACACTCCCACCCCAGAGCAGCCGCCCGGGGCACGGGGCTCCCATCCTATGGCTCTGGGGCGTACAGCTCCTCAGCTGGGGATGGGGCCCGGCGCCTCAGCTCTGCCCACTGGAACGGCCCTGGTGCTGCGCAGGGCAGGCGCACGTCCATCGATTCAGCTGGGAAAGCCGGGCCATACGGCGGGGCTGACGCCAAGTACAAGGGGCAGAATGGGGACTTCTTAGTAGCTGGCAGGTATGTGCCTCCCTGAACTGATCTCTGGTTGTTAGTACAGTCCTGGGCTGAGAAACTAGTGGGAAAACAAGACCTTGGGTCATCTGCCATGAATGGCAAAGATAAGGGCTTTGCAGTGGCTCTTGTTCCCCCAGCCCTGTGGTGAGGATGTAAGGGCAGCCCAGAGGCCATACTGATGACAACACTTAGCTCTGCAGCTGTGGTTGGAGCGCTGCTGGGTGGAGGGGTTTCCTGTAGGGAAAAGAGGAAAGCTTCTATTGTAACTATCTTGCTTCAATAGAAAAGCATGGCCATTTTGAATACAGACAAATAGTTTCTTTGGCTTTTGGTGACTTTCCCCCACTGTTTTCCTTCCAGACCTGCCCACGGCAGCTCGCAGTATGGTGGACCCACCAACACCTTCACGGTCAGACCCGGGGCACGGCAGCCCATCTCCTACACCTACCAGAGTGGGCACCGATAGGCTCATCCATAGGGCTGCTCCACTGCCTTCGTCCTTCTGCTGGGAAGAGGCAACGAGGTGCGTGGTTGTTGGAGGTTTTCTCCACCTGGCCAGCAAACACTGCTCAACACTGCTGAGGATGAATGTGGAGAGCAAACCTGGGACTTGGACTCTTCAAAAAGACTGTCATGGAGCATAGTTACTGCAGACCAGCTACTGTTATGTGAGCAAAGATGTTTTTCTTTCTCTTCTTCCCTCTGCCCCAGTATTATTTTCAAATTTGCAGCCTGATAGGTCTTCTAAAATGCAAAAGACCCTTAGTTTAAAGATCGTTACTGGAGAGATTGGGGTTTTTTTTGTTTGTTTGTTTAATCGTGCTTGGGAGTGGGGAGAAGCCAAAGCTGGAGATGTGTGTAATGGAAGCAAGCCAGTATGTATCTGAATTTAGGGGAATTAAGAATGTGAGGTCAATTGGATAGAAATAGTTTAGGATGCCTGCATCGCCGCCCCCTCAGCCTTGAGTGAACCCATTACACTGATGCCTTAAGCCAGCTCATGCTCTCAGTGCCCATCTCCAGGGCTGGGAGCAGCTGTTCTGCAAGCACAGCCCTTGCTTTCCCACTCCTTTTGGTGCCTGCACCTTTGTGTTGCTGGTTCTTTGTCATGGGAGACTGCAAGGCCTGGCTGGGTGGCAGTGAAGCATGTTGGCAACGTGAGATCTTTGATCTAGGGGATGAATAAGCTAAGTTTTGGTGTAACTGTAAAGTTTTTGACACTCCGGGGTGTGGTGTACCTGAGGGACCTTTCTCCAGCTGTTTCCATCAGCACCATGGTGGATGCTTTGGTGCAGATCTGTGTGATGGGAGAGGAGAGTGGTCTGAAAGAGGGTATTTCACACTGCGGTCAGCTGTAGTGAGAGTGTATTATTCTGAGGTTTTGAATAGTTAACTTCCAGAAGTTAGAAGCAAATCTTCCTCCCAGGTAAAATTGCTGCAAATCACTGTAAGATAGGTGTAAAAACTTGTAGAGAGTATTTTCTAATCGCTGACAAACTAAAAGCACTTTGAGACACGAGTCTACCTTTATTGAAAGCACTTTCTGTTCTCAATGTCATACAGTATCATTAGTTCCATTCAAGCTTATTCTGCTTTGTGTTGCGAGTAGATTTTGCTCTACAATTAGACTCAAAACTGGGTGATAAGTTTTCCCCTCACAGTGCAGATTTCAGAAGTTATCTTTATTAATGTCACGCTGTTGACATTCTGTTTTACATTATTTCCAGCTCTACCTAATAATTTAACAGCTGTTTCGAACGCTGCAGAGGCTTCGAAGTATTCTGAACTTTACTTTGCTGTGAATGAAATGAGAACGCAAATACCATAATCAGCCTAATAGCTAATTCATAGGATGTTTTTATGCCAGTAACTCACAGTGACTTGGAATGCTTCCAGCTGTGCTCACTCCAGCTGGTATTGAAACAGCACATTTTAAATGGCTGGATGTTGGTTTATGGAGGAGAAATAACTATGGAGGAACTAGGCATTAAATCCCTGGGCTGTACAACAGCCATTTGCCAATCTCCACCCCCATTGAGGAAGTTCCCCGTGTGAGGAGCATCCTGAGAACATTTATTGATCGTTGGGAGTGAAGCTGTGATGCTGTCTGCGTAGCTCCAGGGTTGTGTTTCACACATTCAGGGATTTCACCACTTTCCCCTAAAAGCAAAGAAGCTTCGCTGATAATGTTGCAACCTGATCTTTTTGTTTCCTGGTGTAGATTTTTGCATCATGAGTTAAAACTGCAAATGAATTCCTAAAATTACTTTAGAGACTTGCTGGGAGATGAATCGTGGAGATGAATCCTTTAACACATATGCAATTTCTGGATTGTCTTCCTCTTTCGAATTCTGCTCAACCTCAGCAAATATCCCCAACAAAAGTTTCATTTTCTTTTCAGAGCAAATGTGAAAGTCCAACGTTGGCGCTTGCTTTGAATTCCATGTTTCCTATTTCATTCAGACATGCAATTCGCAAGTTGCTATAATACAGTGCTACGTAGCGTGGAGCATCTTGTTTCTAGCAGGTGGACGTTGCTTTAAATTAAATAGCAGAAGCATGAGAATGTAAGTCAGGTTTGTGTAGCAGCCGTTTATTTACTCAAAGAACGCCCATCCTGGGAATGCATATGGACCAAGCTGTAATGAAACCGAGTAGGACTTCCCAGTAAAACTGGTTAACGTCAGTGTTTGAAGCATTGAAACCATTCTGTTCTTTAGACACTGCGGGCTGTCCCCGCTGCTTTAGGAAAATAGTAGGATTTCAGTAGGACTAAACAGACCAAGGCCATGGGGAACTGTTTGCATTCCAAAGAAATCGCTGTCAGAGCTGTTACAGGGCAGCTCGGTGCAATGAGCAGTGAGGACTCCTCTCAGCTGCTGGGAGCTCGCTCTTGGCCGGGTGATCTTGTCAGCACAGCACACACATTGCTTTACTCTGATTCCTGTTTCTCTTCCTTCTCCCCCAGCTGCTTTACTACATAAACTTAGCGATAGAGAAGGGAAATTGAGGGGTGGTAACAGAGCCAAATGACCCGATAGTGCTGGCAGCCATCCTGAAAGCTGACAGTGGAATTCTTAGTGCCTCAACCCTCTCTTGCCAGTGTGGTCATTCAAGCCTTGATTCGACTTAAATGAGCCCCTGCAACCTCTTCTAAAGCGCCTGCTAATGTAGTAGAACTGAGAGCTCAACTTGTAAAGTGTTTGAACAAAGTCTCTTATTTATGAGTGCCACTGAACACCAACCTTCTTGCATTAAATGTGTCTGGATGTATTGTTTTATGACGCGTGGTGTGACTTTTTTTTTAGTATTATCTAGCCTTATCTACTCAATGTCACCTTTCCCAGGGGTTGGGCCAGCTTCTGCTTAGGGCTCAGTATCAACAACTGCTGTGACAATGTCAGTGATAACAGAAACACGAGCTCTCCTCGCTGCCCATTGCTGCAGAACCACCCCATGCCCTGCAGGGTAGGCAGCCTGATGGAGCAGCTTTACAGTTCAGCCTGGGTTTCTATAAATAGTGTTCTTGGTTTGGAGCTTTTCATTAGGAATGAAACTTGCATAGTGATTTGCAAGTCCTGACTAGAATGCCGTGCTTAAAATTGAAAATGCAGGATGAGCAATGCAAGCGCTAACATAAAAGGCAGCTTGTTTCCAGAGTGGCTTACTCTCTCCACTCCTCCAAATTATACTTATTTGCATTCTCATCTCTTTAATCCTGGCTCCAAAACAAGGTTCTTCATTAGGGAAGTGTGCAATGTATCTTGAAGCGTTTTCTCTAGCCACAATATATTAAGCAGTGTCCTCAAGCCTGAGCAGGGTGTGAAGCAGCATCAGCACACCACAAAATCCTTCAGTTCCTTTGCAGATAGCTGTAAGTCAGTGGCATTGATGTGCTGCTGTGATGCTGCTTGTTATGGCCTTGCTGCCTCCCAGTGCTTATAGCCTTGGTAAGATAACACACTGGCAAGTGCTAAGTAAACTGATGCTCTTCTGTGCTTATTTTATGATGGTGGGGGGAAAAAAAACAAGTGGTAAAAAGGGTAGATGATCTGTAATGCGTGCAAACCTCTGGCTGTTGTTATGCTGCTGCCCTCCTGCGGCAGAACACAGAGCTTTACCCAAAGGCTTGCAGGATGAAGCCCAGAATGTGCTACCAGTCTTTAATCAACTGTACAAGAACAGGAATAACGTAGCAACAAGGACCTTTTCTCCACACAGTCCTCATCTTCCACCACTATGCTGCTTTTTGCCCTGGACTGCAGAACACTGCAGCACGGTGATCTGAGGAACTTACGTGGTTTAAAACTTCCTATTTGAAACTTGTCCCTGCTTGCATTGCATTGGCAAATGTTTATTTAAGCAGGGTTGTAACTCCAGGAACTGAAATCACAACTTCAGCAGCCCATGACCTCAGCTGGCTCTCAATATTACAGAGGTAGCCCGGTGAAACTTAAGAGCCAGTTGTAACTGAAAATTATGATTTATTTAAAAACCTGTCTTCCATCGTTTCCAAAGACATCTTTTTCACAAGCAGCAGTTTGCAGTACACAACCTTCATCCTTAACTCTTTGAAGGGGTAGTTTTGAGGAAACTTGTTCTTTATAACTGTTTACCTTTCCAATACAATGCTCTAGGTGGGGAATTTTGCTCTGAAAACAACTATGACATTGTAGTTGCTTACAGTGTAGTGTTGCTATCACGGTAAAGAAAAAGTAGCATTCATTTATAACAACAGTTTTTGTTTCATTAGTTAAGACCCACTGTTGTCTCTAGGAAAGCCAAACCTGGAGCAGCGGCCACGTATGCAGATCAATGCCATTTATTGTCAGTTCAATATATTCAAAGGAAACAGTTTAGTTTGAGAAGTTGTATGTTATATTACCAAAAAACAAAAACCAACCTCTAAGGATTACGTGAAGTCTTTGAGGGGATTATGGGAATGCTTGATCTTCTCAGTCTCCAGCACAAAAAGTCACTCATTGAAAGTCTATCAGGAGCCTTACTTATCACTAAGCAGTCTGATAACAGGAGCAACAAAATGAAGACTCAAGTCCTTAGTCCAGTTTTTCCTCTTATATAAATTTCTGTTTGCAAACCTTATTCTGGAGTAAGTTATATTCAGCACAGAGAAGCTGAAACATGGTGTCAAGCAAACTTCTCTCAGCATTCAGCATGCTGCAGAAAAGCCCCCGAGCTGCTCTCAGCTCCAAGCAACAGGTGAGCATTACAGGTCCTGGCATTTCAGCATGTCATGCACCATCACAAAGATGTTTAATGACTGCAGCTGGGATCCTTATTATACAGCATATGTGACGTATCACACCAAGCACTGGTACTCTGATACCCAGCAGTGGAGCAGAAGTCTACACACAGTGCTCACCATGGGATTATTTGCAATAGAAGATAGCAAAAACCAACCTTCTAAACTGAATGTGGCATTAAGGACAACAAGGAAACTCTTCTACCATTAAAATTCCAACACAGCTTCCTGTCCAGTTGGAAGGAAGTATTTAAAGAGCAAACACTTTGCTCAGGTGAGGCTTTTGCATCTACCTCAGTAAAGGTGGTTCCTTTTAACCTCCCCAAACAATTTGTTTCTATTCATTCTGTGAGTGGTTTGAAGAAACAAGTCTTTTTCATTTTATTATACCTAATTCCCTCTTCCAAGGCTCCTCTGTAGCTGAAGTCACTATTTTTTTTCCAGGTAAAAAACTGCAGTCTTTTCGCAGGTGAATCCAACTCCTGAGGAGATGGTACAGTCTAGTTTGCAACTAATTTATGCTTAACTCAAAACTACTACAGGAACCTTCTTAGTCACAAGGTTCAAGGCAGACAACAATCCATAACCACTCGAGTTCACAAACATCGTCGACTTCAGGAGAACCAAAATAATGCAAGGAAGGAATTTGGACCAATGAGTTTATAAAACTATTCTTTTACACAGTTGATTCCGGAAGCTTCACCAGTTGGTATGGGGACAGTGTGATGTAAAACCTGATGATCCCATCCAACTGTAGTGAGCAAGGCATTGTCTGAAGGAGACCACGATAAACCTTTTACAAAGTCTCGATGAGAACGGCTTCTGAACCTGGAAAACAGAGCACTATTAGCCATGGAGCACTGTTGCTAAGAATTTTTGGCTTGTGCATTTCCTAAATGCCAGTCTATTAGGACAGTGCTCCCCACTTTAAGGAGTATTTTCACTTTCCCTTTAGTACATAAACAATTAATGAGGAATCAGCAGGACAAACAGAGCCAGTGAATACACTGTCTGGTACTTACACCTCTGAAAGGTCTGAGTTGAGAACAGCTACTGTACAATCTTCACTGATGGAAGCCAGCAAAGGTGAACTAGAAGACAGACAAGAGACCATGGTTAGAGCAACTAAATACACAATTAAAGTTACAAAAAATGCTTTACTCTGGCACTCAAGTGTATCTATAGTTGCATATTCTACGCCCCTATTTTAGACAGTACCTATGTGCAGAAAATGCAAAGCCCGTAACACGTCGGGCATGCACAATGGAGCTGAGGGCAGAATCAGGATTCTTTGTGTCTACTAGTGCAACTGTTCCACTTTCATCACCTTTAGGAGAAGAAGAGAGAATGAGGTTATTGGCAAAGCTGTCACATGAATAGCAAGACCTCAATTTGTCTCCTGAAAGCTGAACAGTAAGAGCACTTCTTACCTAAAGCAAAGATGTCACTTTCCTGTGGATGCCACAGGACTGAGGTAGGGAGGTAATTACAGGCACTGCAAACTGTAAGTAAATAAATAGGGGTAAGAGTGAAGAGAGCAGTCCTTAAAAAGACATTCTTACCCTAGCCCAGTTAACACTGCTACAGCACTATGATAATTATTTAAACGTTGATTTTACTTCTGTGACAGAGTTAGACTTCTTAGGGTTTAATGGGCTTCTGTGACCAAGTGGCCAGGCTACTAGATTGAGGTTAGACATAGAGAACTCAGGCATGAAACAGTGTATTTCTTCACACAACTTCATACGTAAGGAGTGACTGCATTCAGAAACATACCAATTCGAGTAGCTGGTTTGGGGCATCTGGTGTCCCAGAGTAATATTCTTTCATCCTATAGATTCAAAGCAAATAAGATTTTTACAATTTCTTTTTGGAGCAGAGGCAGGCATAAACTCAGATTCACTGCAGTACTGTTACCAATCCACATTCAAACCCACGTCACCTCCTCTTGTGTTTAAAATGATGCTGGCATTAACACTCAGCTCCTTCAGTAACCCCAGGACAGAGCTGGGAATTCCCATGTTTTAACACAAACCTGTACCAACAGCTGGGTGAGCCCATCAGCAACTTATCAGACTGCAACATTGGAACAAAACATACGTGCAGACATTTTATACGACAGGTGGTTTCTCAATAAAAGTGTTTAACTGCAAATAATTAAGTTAAATCTCATCTTTATCAGGCAGATTCGGATAGAATTAGCTTTACCTCAGCGCAGGACAGGAAGATGGTGTCCTTACCAGGACAGGCAGCCACACATGTCACTGCATCGGAGTGAGCTACCGAAAGCACAAAAGGAAAAAAGAGCATCAAAGACTGTATCCAACATTCCCCTGTGTGCCCAGTGCCTAACTGCACAGCACAGAGAAGGAAGCGAGGATCTCTGGAGGCAAAGCAGATAAAGAGTAACTTCTATCCAAGACTATCTAAGCACTTTCTAACACACTGAGCTGCCAAACCCAAAGAGAGCCACTGCAGCCATGTCCTCACAATGTGCACCAGCTTGAAGAATCCTTTGCAGACCAGAGGTTGGTTACAGAGGGGCAACTCTGACAGCATAGCATCTTTGACAGCCCAGTGTGAGCTCCCCAGAGCTCTGCTGAGCATCATTCAAAGCAAATACAGCTTACATTATGCATGCAAGTGCAGAGAGGAGAAGAAAGCAGAGAAATTCAAAAATACACTTGGAAATGAGAAAAAGTAGGTCCTATAACACAGGTTGGGCAGGGAAAAACGAACAGAGAAATATGCTTGTGCTAGGAACTGAAGTGATGTGGGGGCCACAACCTGCAAACGCAGTGGGCACTCACCTCTATAGGAGTGCAGCACAGCCTGCTGCGGGAGGTCCCACACCTTCACACTGCAGATGAGAGGCAGCAATCAGGGCCTGGCATCACATCCCGGGGTGGGGGGGGGAAGCAGGGCCGGGAGAGCTCACCTGAAGTCCCTTCCGCCGCTGACCGCCCGCGTGCTGCCCGCCAGGACGTCCACCGCCTCCACCATGTCGTCGTGCTCGTACTTGCAGAACTTATTGACGATGAGGGTCTCCTTCTCGTCCAGCTCCCACAGCTCCACGGCGCCTGCGGGGCACAGCGGGGGCCCCGCCTCACCGCGGGCACCGGGACGGGGGGAAGGGAACGGGGATGCGGCCAGGGGGAGCCCGGCGGGAGCGGGCAGGGGGCGACGCCTCGCGCTTACCGGAGTCGGAGCCAACCAGGATGCCTCTGTCCGCCACCCAGCGCAGGTCGGCCACGCCCGCCTCGGTCTGGACGCCGGCGGTGCAGAAGCCCTCGCTGGGGGCGCGCCGGGGGTCGGCGAACACCCAGATGGAGCCGGCCCAGCAGCGGCCGCTCAGCCCCGAGGCGCCCAGCAGCAGCGCTCCGTCTGCGGGACGTTCAGCCGTTCAGCGCCCCTGCAGCCCCGTTCCTGCCGCCCCTCCAGCCCCGCCGCCCCGCGCCCGCGGGCCGCTCACCTGCGCGGTAATGCGCGCGTTCCAGGTGCCGCTCCATGCAGGCGGGCGCGTTGGGCGGGATGTTCCATTCGGGGCCGCCAGCCGCCGCGGCCTCGTCCTCCTCCCCGCCTGCTGAGGGCGTCGGGGTTGCGGGGGGCGGCGGCTGCTCGGGCGGCGGCTCCTCCATGGCGGCGGTGGCGCAGCGGGACCGGGACCGGCGGCGCCCCCACGTGCTCCCGCGCCGCGCGCGCGCCGTCGCTTCTCGCGAGAGCGGCCTCCGCGAGAGTCTCGCGAGAGTCTCGCGAGATCTGCCCAGCCGCCATCTCGGTGGTGCGGAGGCGGCCGGCGGTCACCGGGACGAAGGGTCGCTGTGCCGCCATGCTGTCCCGCCTCGTCCTCCGTGCCGGTGAGCGGGCGCGGCTCCTTACGGGGAAACAGCGGGCGGGAGCTGGGGGGGAGGGGAGGGGGTGTGAGCTCCGTCCTGACGTGCCCTCTGCCCCTCTCCTCCCGCAGCCCCGGCCGTGCTGAAGGGCCTGCAGGGCCTGCCGCCTCCCGTCTGTGCAGGGTGAGTTCCGCGCTGTGAGGCGGGTTTCTCTCGGCGGTTCTTTTTGTACACCGTGGAGCTGAACGGAAGCTTTCTCGTTGTAGCGTCTTGCACGTCGCGAGGCCGCTTCACACCGCTCAGCACCGCTTGGCTCCCGTGCCTCCGCTGCCGGAGAAAGGAGGAGAGGTTCGGCACGGCCTGATCCCTGAGGAGTTCTTCCAGTTTCTCTATCCTAAAACCGGAGTCACAGGTTAATGTTTGCGATTTTAGATGGCAGCAAATGATCGGCCTTGGAGGAAGGGTTCAGACTGATAAAAACGTCACTTTGTTTTGGTGTCTTTTTGTTTTCCCGAGTTGTTAGCGTAACCCGACTCAAATTTTGACACGTAGAGAAGTGAAGGACTTTTGTAAGAGTCGAAATTGAACATTCCCAATTGCTTTCTTCTCAAACTGAGTTTCCCCATAAATCAAGCATTTGGGGAACGCTTTATTTCAAGAAATCAGTCAATAAAAAAGAACTGTTTAATAGGGAGTTTATTTAAGGAGCAAAAAACCAAATGTTCTGCAAAGCCTCACCTGATTTGTAGTTCATTTCTCATCTAGAAATAGGAGGACTTTAGCCCCCTGATGCCCAGCTCTGGTAGTGCAGCAGCCCCTCCTGGGGGAAGGGGAATTCCAGAAGGGAATTCTGCTTCCTCTGCAATGAATGTTCCCAGAAAACATTTTGTGCCAAAGATGCTGATTTAGCAGTTTCATTTTATTCGTGTTGATTGAATGCAGATGCTGTGTTCCTCACTGTCCAAGAAACAGATTTCACATCTGCTTGGGAGATGGACTGGATGATCTCTAGAGGCCCCTTCCAGACCCTGCAATGCTGTGATTCTGTGATGTGTTTTTAATTTGCATTTAATTAGGCTTGTTTAGATGTGCCTGTAATTTGTAGCATAAAAAAGGTAAAGCATTTGGGAAAACACAGCATTGGTCAGCATCCTGCATATGTTTAAAGCATGATATTTAAGAAGAGGAAGAATTTCTACTCTTCAGGTATTATGAGAGGGTGGTTATGAGGCCTGTGTAGTGTTCCTCATGCTAAATGCCTTTGAACAGCCTTACAATAGTCAAGTCAAGGCCTGCAGCAGGCACTTCTGTATGAATATGGCTTGAATTTAGGCGGTCCTGTGTGGAGCCAGGAGCTGGATGCAGTGCTCCTCGTGGTGTCCTTCCCATTGTGGTGTTCTGAAGCTGTCTGATTCTGCCTTTGCTCATGGTACAAAGGTGTCATAGAATAACTCAGTTTGGAAAAGTCTTCAAAGAACTTAGAATTCAACCATGAACCTGACCATCCTACCCCAACTCTAACAACCTTCTGCTAAATCACATCTCTGAGCACCACGTCCAGATGGATTTTAAACACATCCAGGGATGGTGACTCAACCACCTCCCTGTGCAGCCCATTCCAGTGCTTAACAACCCTTTCTGTAAAGAAGTTTTTCCTGATATCCAACCTAAACCCTGCTGCAACTTGAGGCCTTTTCCCCTTGTCCTGTCAGCAGTGAGAAGAGACCAGCTCTGCTCTGCTGCAATCAGCTTTCATGTATTTGAAGAGAGCAGCAATGTCTCCCCTCAGCCTCCTCTTCCCCAGACCAAACAGCCCCAGTTCCTTCATTCTCTCCTCATCGGCCATATTCTCCAAGCCCTTTTGCAGCCTTGTTGCCCTTCTTTGGACCTGCTGCAGCACCTCCATGTCCTTTCTGTATGTTTCCTGGATTTAATCTATTTGATGGAGTTAATCCATTTGCTTTCAGGTGTTTCACTTCAGTACAAATAATGCTATTTTTTTTTTATTTTATTTTTAGGGCCTTATATGTTGGGAACTGGACTCCTGCTTTACTTACTCTCTAAGGAAATCTATGTCGTTAACCACGAGACAGTTGCAGCTGCCTGCATATTGACAGTCATCATTTATGCCGTTAAAAAGTATGGTGCTGATGTAGCAGCTTTTGCTGACAAACTTAATGAGGTAAAAAGAATAATATTTAATCCAACTTTGCAGAAGTTAAAAACTAATTGATCTGCTTAAGTAGGTCTGGGCTGTAATAGAATCTGAGCCTATTCTTGTAACGGTGCTTAAATGAGTTATGTTTTAGATCTTAGGTTGGTGTTGCTATGTGGGTTTGGGGGGGAAAAAATGAAGGAAAAGCACTTTACACCAAAACAAATATTTTATGGCTTTTTATTTTTTTGTACAGTTCGTTGTGAACAGTAATTCTTGTCATGCTGTCCCAAACCTGATGCAATCTAGCTGGTGTAGGTATTTCTCAAATTGTAATGCAGAATTTCAGGAATAGGTTGCAGATCACTTGTTTTCTTTGCAGCTTGCTTTAATTCTGAATCATTTTTTGTTTCTGCTTTCAGGAGAAAGTTGCTAAAGCTTTAGAGGTGAAAAATGAAGCAATTAAAGCACTGGAAACTGCCATTGAGGAGGAGAAAAAGGAGCAGTGGAGAGTTGAAGGCCGCAGTTACCTCTTTGATGCTAAGAGGGTATGCAGCTCTAGCTCTGCTGCTCACTTTTACTGCTGTTTCCATCACATCCAATGTGGGTGCCTCTTAGGTTACTAACAAGTAACAAACCAGTTATGAGACATTTGTTGCAGACGAGGCCAGTTTCACTACCTGATCTATTGACTGTGTATGGGGCTGTGTTCTGCTGTATTGTCTTGTTGTCAAACATTAATCTGTTGATTTCATTTTCTGTGTCTAGAATAATATTGCAATGCTGCTGGAAGCTAATTACCGAGAAAGATTACTGACGGTATACAATGAAGTAAAGAAAAGGCTGGACTATCAGGTGGCTCTGCAGAACTTAAAGCGTCAGAAGGAGCAAGATCACATGGTTCAGTGGGTGGAGAAGAACGTTATTCAGAGCATCACGCCTCAGCAGGTATTGGTTTTTGCTGTTTGCTTTCATCTGTGTTATGTTCTAGTCTATAAGCATATTGCTTTCCAGTCCTTCTCACCTGTGTCAAAAAATGCCAGATCATCTGGGTGGCTTGCAAGCACAGCAGTGATGCATTCCTGCTGTTGTGTGAGAGCTAACAAGCCCGCACACTGGATAGAAGGTGTTTGTGCTGCTAGTGAAGTGAGCAAGTCACTGGTTTTGTTTGCTCTTGCAGCACAGAGCTAACCCTGCAATAAGGGCACACCAGGGAATTTTCTTTTAAAAATCCCTCTCTAAGAGCAGAATGGCTTAAGATCCCCAGATGGACTCTGGATGCCCTTTCTTTTAAGGAATGAACCTGATAACAATGAAATATACAAGCAGAGCTAGAAATATGATTTAAGTCAGATCGCTGCTTGGATTTGAATCTTGCCTTATAAGCTACATAGCATTATACCTTTCAGACTATGACTCATTTTGAGTGTCTAAAGGGAAAATAAAAAGTGCATTAAGTACCTGTTCTGCTTGCTTAACTTCTTTTCATAAAGGCTTTCTACTGAAAATGTTTTATTTTTCTTTTGCAGCAGAAGGAGAGCATTGCAAAGTGCATTTTGGACCTGAAGGCACTATCGAAGAGCGCCCAGGTGGCGGTGTAGCCACGTAGTACCTGATTCCTCTGAGGTGTCCCATTACTTATTGTTGGAAACTCTGATTGTAAAATGTCATTAAAACCAACAAACAGAAATATTTGCTGTCTTTGACTATGATTTTTTGTATGTGTGTGTTTGCAGTAGCCATGGATTATAGTGGGGCATCACTTCCAACCACAACTTTGTTTGGTTCCTGGTTCAGTTGTGAACCTTTCTGGAGATGAGATGCTGACTCTCACTGTGGTGCTAATGCACTTGTGAATTTTTTTTTTTTAATTCAGAATTACCTGTACAAATGCCCTATGGTTAGTTTTGTTAATGTGTTTTAAAATCAAAATGACTGCTAGTCTTCCCACTCACCTACCCAATGAGATGCTTGGAACTGGTGTCCTCAGTTCATAGGCAAACAAACAAAAAAGTAACAAAGCTTTAAATAATCACAAAAGCTTCTTACTCTGCAGAAAAGAGAATATGACTGGCAGGAAACATCAGAAGATAATAAAGCTCAGCTTCTGCTGAATTTACCAGCGTAAGGATTAGAACAATTGTGCCCTGGGGGGACTGATGCACCTTTTGTACATGGACTGATACTGTGGTAAGGAAGCACTCCTAATGGAGTTAGTGAAATAGCAAAGGTTTTTACATCTTTTTTCACTATAACAGCTCAGAGAAAAAGGTGTTCTTTGGAGGTGAGATACTCTTAAAGGCAGAAGTCATCTACCTTCGGGTAAAGGTGACTTTTTTTTTTTCCCCCTGGCATTTCCTGGCAATAAAGGTTTCTCATCATTTCCTGTTTTTTTTTTTTTTATTAAAAAAGTGAAGTTACTCAACTTCCACGTTGATGTCTCATTCAAATTTAAGCTTGCTTGTGCTTTCACAAGCTGGACACGATTTCACAAAGGCAGCACGTAGTGCTGTGCAAGCAGTGCTAACGCTACTGAAGTTTTCTACAGGCGGCTACGGTATGTGAGGTAAGATGAAGCTGTATGACAACATTGCTCCTGTTATTGCAAATGCAGTGTACTTTGAGATCTGACATGGGGAACTTGGAGCTGGCTGTCGGGGTATGCAGGAGAAAAAGGTGAAAGAAATGGTGAGAACAGTTTATTTTCACGTCGTGAGCAATAGTTGGACGTTCTTTGCAATGTGTAGTTTGAAAACTATATAATGAGAGAGACTAGGCTGGGAATATCCTAGTAAAACTATATTTCCCCATCGTTACACTTGCACCTCCTGAATTTGAGAATAATGTTTTAATTTTGAACTTTCTGTGAATGTAACTTGAGAAAAAATGTCCCTTTAGGTTTTTTCTATCTGTGCTTCTGATCATGGAAATTTTCATAAAGTTCACTCTATTTTAGCTATGTAATACTGAGGATATTTTTTAGTCCAGTATGAAATACGTTCCATCGTTTTGAGAGAAGACACTGTGCTTAACAAAGGTACTGGGCATGTGTGCACTTGGATGCAGGAGTGAGATGTTCAGAAGCCAGGCTTGTGCTCTGTTATTGCCAGATTTCCTGCTGTGGTTTAATGCAAGTTTGTGTAAGATGCTGAAAACACTGATAAAAGTTAAATCGAGTCTGAGATGTGAATGAGAACGTTAGGTTTGTGTTGTGTATGTGTGTGTAAATACAGCTTTCCTGTCATCTTTAGGTTCTCTTGCTGTTCACTAGTGTTTGGAGAGAATGGGAGGTTCCTCCTCAAAATCTAAACCAGGTATTCCATTTTATTATTATTATTTTTTAAGGAGCTCTGGTAGATTCAGTGTTCTTTGCTACCATCACCACTTTCCTGGCTCAGAAAGTGTTGCTGTGGGGTAGCTTTGTGGATAAATGTGTTTGGAGAAGTACTGCACAGCTTGCAAAGGCTGCTGGGGAGCAGCGGCGGTGTGGATCACTGCTGTTTTTCTACCTGGTGTTTTCACTTTCAGCCCTCTGGTACAGAAATGTTATACTTACAACATTTCTTGCAGTCATTCTTGAATAGGTTCACATTTCTAAGAAGTGGTTTGCTTGTTACTTGTAATAGTACTGGAAATATTAGCACATTTAAACTCTCATTTCTTTCTATTTATTTTTAGTTACACCAGAACCCATTTCCACTACTGTCACAGTACATACCACTGTACAGACCTCTACTGCTGTCTTACCAGACTTAGAAGACAAATCCTTGTTTGATAAGTAAATGCTACACCTTTGTTTCTTAACTTTGAACACCAAGTTCCTTGAAACTAGAAGCCCTTTCTATAGGGAACAAGTTACACATAGAGCAGCTTATGTCCCATGTTTTTACAAGTTGGCTTAGAATTTCCTATTCTGTGCTGTAGGTACTCAGTAATTCTTACTGCAGATACCTTGTAATCTCACGGGGCTTGGTAATAGGATGTTTGATAACCTTGGTTGAATTTGAAAGCTACTAATTTTTTGATATTTCTGTAAGAATGTGATTCTGACTCTGTTTCCCGTGTATCAACAGCCCTGAAATATTCTACTTAGCATTAGCCTTTATCTCTGGCATCCTGTCAACTCTTCTGGTGGTTGGAATTGTCTTCCTCATCAGAAAAAGTAAGTGGCACAGTCAAAGGAATGCCAGCAGCATGGTTCTTGGGTTTCCAAATTGCTTGGTTTGCAGTGAAGATTGCAACAGATTTCAGGTCAGATTGCCCAGCTGTCAGCTGAGAGGGAACTGTACAATTGGCTGGCAGAATATCACAGCCAATTCCTCTTTCTGTGGTACAAATGACAAGAAAGCATAACTCAGTGCCTTGCAGCTAAGGGGGAGGGGAGGGATAAATTGTCTTGCACGTAGGGCAGACTAAACCACTGGGTCCTAATTGCTCCCTAGTTCTGTAATTAAAACAGCCTTGTTGTGAGTTTTGACAATGAGCAGGAGTTCCGTTCTGTTACTTTTAAATGACCATCAGGGAGTGCAGTGTGGACTAAGAACTTGTTTGTTTCAAAGATAACAACTGCACCACCTGGCTAATCCCACTCTGCTCTCCCCCTTTCTAGGGTATAAGAGATCCCAAGAGCATCTACAAGAACAAGTTCCCTCCAAGGTACAACGTGAGGAATCTGCTGAAAGCCAGGTAAAGGTCAAAATTATAAATCCTGGGGTTGCTCAGTTTCTGTAGCATTGAGGTCAAAATCAAAGCAGGAAATTTGTCCTGAGATGTTACAACTGCACTTTCTCTGATGTTTGTAACCTCTCATATCCCAGAATGAGGTTTCTTATGCCTCTGTGGTCATCAGGCCCCGACCGAAAGCAGCACCTGTGTGACAGTGGAATTTAACAGATGAACACCTGCACTTTCTGCATGTTGGATGCCATGGGATTGTTGCACGGAGGACTGTAGTGCTCTGTGAGATATCCAGGCTGCAGTACATAACATCAGCTGAATTCATAGCTAGGAGGGGAAAACAGCATCTCCAACTCTGCAACTCTTGCCAACACTGGGGACAAGTTGCTTTCTATACCACCTTCCCTCATCTAGAACGATCCTGGTGACAACCTATTGCACAGTTTCCGTGTGGTTTCCGCTATTGCTTGGAACTGCTGAGGAGAACTGAAAAACAGAAGTGTTTATCTGCACCTGTCCACATCTGTGCCCTTATTTCCCTGTTCAGTCACTGGCTGCAGCATTTTTGATAAGGGTGCCCAGTGCTTTGGTTAAACTACTGGACTATATTATGATGCACCACTGCGGGGCAGCACCGAGCAGCCGGAAACACCGAAGTTTGATCTGCGTTATTCGAAGGTGTAACGTTTTGTGTTTTCTGTTTGTTTGTTTGTTTTCTCTGCTGAAAGCAATCGGTTCCATCTACTGGCAGCGATCGCATCGCCAAGTTGTGATGTACTCGTGCAGTGACTTCCTTTGCCAGCTGCTTTGTTAAGGGTGGGACCATGTAACGGGGTGGGTTTGGGCAGCAGCAAAGATTACATCAGATGATGAACTGAGATCTCTGGTCTTTGTTAAAGGAGCATGCACTGGTGTCTGTGTAGCTTACTGAGCTACTTAACAGAATGATGCACTCCCCTTTGTTTTTTTTCCTATACCACTTCTACTGTGCAAAGATGGAGAAAAAAGAGCCTTGCCTTTAATTGCCTGTGTTCAGTTTAACCCATGTTCCCTGAAACTAAGCTGTGCAAGCTGTGCTATAGCATCTATTGCAGTTTCTGAGCTGTTGGGACACCTGCTAAAACAGAGCAAGGATTTCATGCAACACGTTGACTTTGCATAAAATCCACTTAATATTTATTATCCTTAATGAAAATGTGGCAGCACTGGCTGTGCAGCACAAGCTGACCAGACTTCATCTGATCATCGAAATGGACAGGAGATGATGGGTGTAAGAGGAGGCAGTGAGGACATCCTGCACTGCAAGCATTTATCCTGTTTTTCAGTGCACCCAGACAATTGTTATGGGAGGGGGGGGAAAAAAAGGACAAAATTAATCTCAACTCTTCTGTATTTTGAAACTACATGATACAGACATAAGATGTAAGACATGTATGTACAGACCCAGGGGGTGGGGACAGGTCCTGGTGAAGACTTTCATTTGCAGATGGAGATCTCATGTGATGCTGTAACTTCACTTGTGCTGCTGGAACGAAACGTCAATGTTGTGTGCAAGTAAAGAGAAAGCAAAATGCTGACCAAAAGACTTGTTGTGCTTGAGTTAAAGCTAGAAACTAGCAAGAACCGTTGCGTTATTTCTTACTGCCTGTGGATCGGAGCTGGAAGTAAAAAGTCCATCTTGGTAACTGTGCTTTGGGTCACAGTCTGCCAAGCAACACTCAAATCAGTAAACAAGAACCAGAAGGTGCTCTTAAAGGCAGGTGCTTACCTGAGAAGGTCTGGGCTTGGTACAGCAACAACCAAGCCAAATTTAGTGGGTTATAACAATGTAAAAGTTTGCAAATTAATTTTTGGGGCTTTAATGTCATATGGGAATCAGATAGTGTGTGAGCAGCTTGCCCTTATCGTCAGTTGTGTCAGACAGCAGATGAAACAGGATGTGTTTTTTCCGTGAGTTCCTTAAAGCATTTTATCAGGGGTCTGGTGTGTGCTGGTGGGTCAACGTTCATTCTGTGTCTATGACAGCTGCTGTGTTTAATCTGTAAGAACTGAGACTGGCTTCGGGCTTTTTTCTGCATAGGATGTAGGTCCTTAAAATTAAAAGGTAAGTGGTTTTGAACTTCTTTATCTTGCAAGCATAGACAATGGGGTTCATGGCAGAATTGGCATGAGACAACAAGATTCCCAAGAAGATCCAAGGTTTAGGAATCTTATATTCAGGGTGAAAGTACAAAACGCAGTTCATGATGCACAGAGGCAACCAGGACACAGCAAACAGGAACAGAACGAGTGCCAGAGATTTGGCTTTCCTGAACTCCTTCCCATAGAACACTCCCACCCCTCTCCCGTTGGTTGCTCCTTGGCTTAGCCTTGTCCTGATGATGTAAAATACTGCCACATAGAGAGCACACATGATGCTCAGAGGGATGAGAGTCCACGTGAAGAACGAAAAATACACCATGTAATCCATCCTCATCACAGAGAGAAATTCACACGTGTGATAGTGGGAGCTTCTTCGTTTGTTCCATCCAAACATTGGGGTTAATCCCACCAGCAGGGACAGAGACCAGCACAGCCCCAGCGCCCACCAAATCCTTCTCTCTGTAGAGATGATTTTATATCTGTTGAGGAAGAAAACCGAAGCCAAGTTGAACAGAAGTGTTTAAAATACTTAAGGATGATTTCAGTAACTCGTGTTCAAAAACTCATGGTTCATTATGATAAACTTGGAGCACCAACTTGCTTTTTTTTCTTTTTTTTTTGGAAGGAAAACCTTATTTTGTTATAAGCCATAGCTCTTCACTGTAACAGTCATGAAAGATGAACTATGCTCAACTTCCTTTCTTTGTGGCTGGCTGCTGTTTTATTTCTTGTTTCATTATGATCTCAGTGCTCCTTTACACACTGGAACAGGTTGCCCAAGGAGGCTGTGGATGCCCCATCCCTGCAGGCATTCAAGGCCAGGCTGGATGTGGCTCTGGGCAGCCTGGTCTGATGGTTGGTGACCCTGCACATAGCAGGGGGTTGGAACTGGATGATCATTGTGGTCCTTTTCAACCCAGGCCATTCTATGATACTACTTGTATTCCCACTGCTAGTGATCCTATTCTATTTCTCAGCTTTCTTGCATGCACCTTACTCTTTATGTTGGTTCATGCTATTTGTAAGGCCAAACTGCTTTTTCACTTGTCAACATATATGTCTTCTCCCCACAAAAAATATTCCTTTTATGCCTGCAATTATGCTTTCTGTATGTCTTTCCATTCAAGCCTAGAAAAGGAAAGCCTTCATAAATCTTCAGTATTTTCAGGCAACAGTAAAAGAGAACGTATTTAAAAGATTATCCTCAGAAACCCAAAGAAATCTGTAGAGCATCTGGCATCTGTATAACAACCCATCAGCCAGAGAACAGACCCATGTGCTCACCTGATGGGCAGCTTCACACGCAGGTAGCGATCGATGGCGATGGCCAGCAAGGAAAGGATGGAGGCTTGGGTGAAGACCACCATGAGGCAGCAGAGGAAGAGGCAGAAATGGAACGGGATGCTGACATGCAGGCTGACCAACACAGCCAGCGGAACGACGACCACCCCTACTGCAATATCAGCCAGCGCCAGGGAGGCAATGAAGTACATGGTGGTGTTGTGGAAGGCTGCATTCAGCTTCACCACCCAGACCACCGGGATGTTCCCCAGGGCAGCAAGCAGAGCCACCAGGCACTCAATACTGATGTAGATCACATCCGTGCCGCCCATCACCTGGCTGGTATTGAAGGTTCCATTGGTGGGGCTGCTGCTGACTGAGCAGTCCTGTGTGCACATGGGTACCGGTGGTCTCTGTGGCATCCTCAGTGCTGCTGTGGGCCGTCTCTGTGCTTCCCTGGTGTGTGAATGTCCTCCAGAATTTCACATCCTCAGCGCTCAGCAGTAAATCAGCTGTTGCCCGTCTCAGCATTCAGGAAACGTTCTTCGTTTTGGATGTGTCTGAAGCTCACCGCAGCCCTTCCGAAACTCTGTAGCTTTCACGTTCTTTGGAAAGGTGATTTGATGTGAAAAAAAAAGAAAAGGAAAAAAAAAGTGGAAAAACTCTCCCAGTGCTGCTCACCAGCAACCCAAAACCAAATGTGACCAGTTGAAGGAAGCAGATAAGGCAATTTTAGAAGTGAGAAACCTGTACTCAGAACTGACTGTGCAATGCTGCCTCTATCAATGCAGATAATCGCTCTGTGGTCACTTTAGGAAATGATGCAGCTTATAAGGTGCTTTGCTGCATTCCAGCCCTTCCTCAGTGTGGCATTACTATAGTGACAGTGATGTTCTCAAGTAGGAGCCCCCGGTTCCAGTAGAAGCCCATAGGGCCACCGACCCAACCTCATTGTTGGCCTGCCCCCAGGGTGATGGGTGCCAAAAGGCTTCCTCGTACAATCAAAAGGGATGGCAAGGCCAGGGTTAGGTCATGGAACACAACAGGCAGTGGGCAGCACAGGGCTGTGCGTGTGGAAAACACTGCCTCCAGCTACAGCAACCCTATCTCTGCCATCTCTGGCATAGCCAGGGAAGTGAAATTGGCAAGAGGCAGAGTCAGAAATAAAGACAACTTCTTCATTCTCTTCTGTGAAATGGGCTGGCTTCCTTGAAACATGTAAGTTTCATGTAAGACATGTAAGTCCCCCATGCTCCCCGAATGGAAGGTGTGTTGTTGCCATTACTGCTGGGGAAAATGCAAGGAAGCAGCTCTCTGGGGTGGTCCCAGTCTGCACATGGACTTGGTACTGGTTTTCTAACAGGAGCTGAGAGCTGTGGGCACAGCAGATGAATGCCAGCAATGGCGTGTGCTGGATTTGCAGCCTGAATTGCATCTCCAACCAGCTGGTGCTGTGCAGCTGTGAGCAGGGGACAAACACATCCTGGTGGTGCTCGGGTATGAGCTGCTGCGTCGCCTCTGTGGCTGACCTCCTCCTCGTGTCTCCTGCTGCCTAAGCTGTAGGGGCCTTAGCAGGGCCACCCTCCTCTGTTGTCGGCTGCAAACAGATGAGAAAACAGTCAGTGCTGCATGGGACTGAAGCAAAAGGTTTGTTTTCAAGCCATCCGTGCTGCCTCATGGCTGTGAAAAATGCTCCATCGCCTCACCTGGGTACCCATGGCACGCTGTGCAGGTGGCTCCTTTCAGACACTGTGGAGAAAAAGAGAGGCTTTGTGCTTCCTAAAGACACACCATAGGCCTTTCAGTGATGGTGCTGCATAACACCGTTTGGGGTTTTCCATCCCCAATGGCAGCCAAGGGCGGTGCTGTCAAACCCATCTGAACTGCACCTGCCCCAGCTGGGGCCAAACCGGGCTGCTTCCACCCCACACATCCCTGTTTCTGTTGGGAAGGTGAAGGAGGCGTTCATTTCCAGATGCTTCCTGCAGCAGCAGCATCTGTTTCCTGCCCTGAGCTCTACACCCACAGGGTGCCAGGCGGCTGCAGCCCCTCCAGTGCTGGGGAGATGAGTGGTGCTCCTGCTCAGGGCCAGGCTGTATGGGGCACACAGTGTGTGTATGTACTGCTATGGCACATCACCCTTCTGCTAGATGATGCGGTTGGAGTGTTTGGACCCCTTTGCTGCCAAATACAGTGTATTGTGTTTCATAAAAGTAGCTGGGATCTGAAGCAGCCTTCCTGCACTGATGGAACTGGCAGCAGGAGGAGCTTTGTGCAAGAAACATTGGGGTTGGCTACACAGGATCCCCTCTTTGTTCCCGCACCACCCTGCAGCCCCATGCAGGATAAGCTCACGCTGAGCCCTGCAGAAACTCAGCCCTGGCTTTGCTGCTGCACAGAAAGCAGCTGGAGTAGGTTTGTGAGCCAGCAATCTGAGGCTTTGTTTGAGATTAGGATTCAGAGGTGTATTTTTAGATCCTGCTATTTAGCTGGAGCCTGCAGAGCTCTGAGCAGTGCCCAGGGCCCATGCTGGGTGCTGGGATGGCTCTGGTGCAGCAGAGCTCAGGGATGTTGGAGTGCAATGGGGTTAAACTAAACCTCGGAGCCTGGTCCCAGAACTGAATGGATTTGCCATTTAAAGGCTGCAGTCAGAGCTTGTTTCTTGGATGGCTCCAGCGAAAGGCTTCCAGCTATTCCCTCAGGACCCTCCTACATCCTGGTGAGATAAGGATCAGGAAGGGAATGGTCTAACTGCAATCTCAGCAGCGGCTCTGAGCACAGATTTGCTTTTCACATTGCGGGTGGAGGAGGGAAGAGACTTTACAGAAAAACAAGTATTTCTAAGTGACAGCCACATCCAGGGGAAAAAAAAAAAAAAAAAAGACAACCCACGACAATGATCTTAGCATGTGACAACAATACCAACAGCCTCTTTGTCCTGGCAGGGCAGTGTAACACTGCAGGGCAGCCAGCAGCACTGCCCAGGGCTGGGCTCCATCCTGCTGTGTCCCTGAGCCCCTTGTGCTGCCTATGGTTGTCTTTCCCTTCTCCTTGACTGCTTTCCCTTTTCATTAAATGCAACGTAACTCCCTGCCCTGTTTCTTCCTGTCTCTGTTTTGCCTCCAGTTTGTCTCTTTCCAGTTTGTCCCATTAGAAGCGTGGAGCCAATCAAGATGGAGCCCTGTGGGGGTTCTGGTGGTTGGAACCAGGAGTGCACGCCTTGGGGAGCCTGGCTGTGACACAACCTTGCCCGTGTCCCCTGCTTGCAGCTGTCCTCTGCTGGGGATGTGGAGAACCCAAGGACTGCTGTCCCTCCTGGTTTCCCTGCCCTTAGAAAAAGGGAAGGCAAAGCAGCGAGAGGATGTGAATGTGAAGCGGGGTCACATCTGGCTTAACAGAGAGCGATTGTGGTCTGGAGAATAACGAGCAGAATGAGATTCTGGCTTCGGTGACTGAGAACAAATCACATCACTGCTCCGTGTCTCAGCATCCCTGCCCTTCAGAAGAGGATGGGGATGTGACCTTCCTGGGCTCTCTGGGAGCTGGGCAGGGCTGGGCTCCTTGCTCCCTGGGCACAGCTGGAACATTCCAGCCAGGAGCGTGCAGTTCCACCTGTGCCCTTGGAGGCGGATGCAGTTACATCACAAATGCTGTCAGTATTTCTCACATATGGGAAAATCTAAAGGAAATGCTAAGCTGACCCTGCAGCCCAATCACTAACCTCAGTAACAAACTGTGCTGAAGACAGAGTCCCTGAATGCTTCTTAGTTTTGACTGCAGCTCCATCTGCAGCTGTCCTGGATGAGCATGGATGTTATCAATGCTGCAGGTACACTGTAGGAGGCCCTCCAGCAATGTAAGCATGGATCAGACAGGCATTGCTCACTGTTGAACAGTACAAGCTGCCTTCCTGCTCCCTGAGCGAAATCCTAAAATTCAGACAAACGATTGAAGGCAGAGCTTCTTCAATCCAACATGAAGCTCAGGGTAGGGCCATTTGCTAGCATTTAAAACTCCATTACCGCCCTCTGAGCAGCTGCTCCATCACTCTGGCTGCAGTTCAGTTGCTCTCTGTCTTTCCAGCTCCCCATGATTGACCAAATTTCACCCTCCCCTCCAGCCCCACCTGGCAGGTTTGGGCCTCACTGTCCTATAGCATGGGACTCACCCTCTGAGCAGGTGAGTGCTCTGCAATGGGGAATGCCTCTGAGCAAATTATTTATAAAACGTGACTCAGCTCGGAGTGGCACTCACAGGTCAATGCAGCAGTGGCATAACTACTTCAGGGGGGAGGTTACATTTCCCCTGCATGGTTTCTAAGTGCTGTTTTCCTGCCTTTAGCTCTCTAATCAAAGCAAGGCGTTATTTATAGCATGGCCACTTCTTTCTGGGTAAGCCCAGAGTGGCCCTGATGGCTTAAAGGGATTTACTCAAGACTGACGTGGGTGCAGCAAACAGCAGGGTTGGGTCCTGCAGCCGCAGTGCTGCACAGGTGGAGTTCAGAACCCACGCTGTGATGGGGCAGGGTTTGCCCCACGCTGTGGCACAGCTGCAGGGCTGCAGGCAGAGCTGTGCCCTGCAGGAAGGAAGCACTGCTTGCACCTCGTTATTTTTAATTCGCTTCTGTTTGGACCCAGCCCTTTCCATGATGCGTGGCAGGAATCGAGGCCTCCTTTGTTTTTGTGATGAACTCAGGAAAAAAAAAAAATTGGGTTTCATTTTTCTTTACTGCCTATTTGCAGCGGAACACGCAAGCGGATCTCTTGATGGAGTGGAAAGCTCAGCTGTCCCCTTCCCACCCATTGCCACCACTACAGCCCTGATTTGTAGGGACATCATTCTTCAGCACTGCCCTCAGTGCACAGCGTCTGAGTCCCATAACCATCCATCAGGATTTGCCCACGAATTAGGCTGGCGCCAGAGGAATGGCGATGCACTTAAACTCCAGCAGAAGGGAATATAAACTGAGCGTGCTGCCGGCCGGGTAACAGCAGAACATTTGTTACTGGAGAACGAGATGTAGGGCCCATCTGGTGCAGCTGTGCAGCACCTCGGTGAGGCAAGGAGCTGCAGTGTGCTGGGATGGTGCTCTCAGCAGGCACCCGTGGCACAACTGCTGTGCTTTGTGCTGAAGCAGATGGAGGACAGTCAGATGCAGCCGTGGTGCTCCCGTCCCCTCGGCTCTTCGCTGCTTCCGCTGTGCTCTGTGGGTGTGGGGTGGGTGGGATGAAGGTGCTGAGCTCAGCTCTGTTCGCTCTGCAGGCAGGAAACGAGCTCAAGCCATGCTCACACAGCTCCATGTGCTCGCTGCAGCCCAGCCAATGCTTGGTGTCCTCATCCCCTGTGAGTTTCGTTTGCAGAGGAAATCCTGTGCCAGGGCAGCCAGAGACCACCAAATGTACAGACAGCGTATGTGAGGGCAAACCACAGTGGTGCAGGCTCCGTGGTTAACCAAGGCAAAGATTTTAATAGGTTCCCAGAACAGGGAGGCCTCTCTGACACATGGCCCACATCAGTGGTGGGAGCAGGGGGCTGCAGGAGCCACCCAGTGCTGCTGGTGACCCTGCGCCTACCGGCACCTGCAGCATCTTGGAGCCTGAATCTGCAGCATCCTGCAGCCAGCATCTGTGCTGCAGGGCACGGAGGGTTCACTCCAATTTGGTGCTTTGCAGTGTGCACAGCTGCAGCTGTCACCAGTGAGCACCTCAAGCTGCCCTTCCCTGCTGCGCCTTGCTCCTGGCCCTCAGGCTGCCGGCTCTGCTCTCCCACCCCTTCACACTCAATGCAAGGTGTGGACCAGAGCTGCTACGACCAGGGCTGAGCTTGAGAGGCTCTTACAGAGAGAGGAGATCCCAGAGCAGCCGCCACTCGTGAGATCTGGATGAGGTGAGTCCAAGGAGCAGCACTGCCTTGCTGCAGATCTCTGCTGGCACCACTCGCCTGTGCACGCTCCAAGGAAACATCCCTGCAGCCCTCCTGGCACTGCACAGCCCTGCTGCAGCTTGTCCTTGCACGAAGCCGTGGGCTCCAGGCATCCCGCTGCCACCAGCACTGCAGCACTGATGTTGTGCAGGTGCCAGCAGCAGGAGGCTGGTGACACACGGGGTCACAGTGCAGGTCACCACGCATGGAGCAGTCATGGTGACACCTGAAGAACCGCACGGAGGACATTTCTGAGCAATGAGAGGAACGAGATTAGTCACTCTCTTTCTGAATCAAGCCTCAGTGGAAGAAACCAGTAGGCAAGCCAGGTCATCTGCTTGTGATGAGGACTCCTGGTAGAGCAGCACGACGTGACCAAGTGCCAGCGTGACAACATCCTCATGCTGCTCTGTCTGACTGGGTCCCAGGGGCTGTATTGTGTGCTGGCAGACCCCCGCTGGAGTGACAGCAGGACACGTCCCTGCTTCCATGGCACAGAGCTGGCAGTGGGGCCCCAGCCCTGCCTGAACCCCACAGCGCCCGCAGCAGCAGCACTGCCTGCAGCCGTCAGCAAGAACCGGCCCGCCTGGCGTGCAGCACTGCACCACAAACACAGGTGACAGCTGATGGAACAGGCTGATATCTCTGTGGTTTCTGTAACTCCAGCAATGCAGGTGAAGTTTTCTGATATTATGGGAGCTTCAAGAACTGGCCCCAGTTACCCCACAGGATTGGCAAGTGTTATGGCATCACTTAGTGCACAAGACCCGGTGAATGTCCTGCGCTGCTCGGGTCACTGCTGAGTGCTGTGCCTGTTAATGCTGAGCAGAGAAGAGCCCTGCAGCCCCACCAGCATTTCCCAGCAGCACGGTCACAGTTTGCAGCAGCACAGAGCAGCACCATCCGTGAGCACTGACACAGCACAGGCTGCGTGCAGCTCCGTGCCGCCCATCTGCTGCGCTTCCCGCATCGCCTGCAACTGTTTTATCGCTGCTCCTCTCTATTACCAAACACTGGATGGGAGATGGGCTATTTTAAAAAGCATCTGCTGTTATTTATGCAAACACTTTTCCTTCCAAAGGCCGAGCAGAGGAAAGTGCTGAAAGCCAACCCCCCCCCCCCCAGGATGTTCCTAGGGTGCAGCTAGGCTGCTCTTCAGCTGACATGTGGGTGTGAGTGCTGCTTGCCACCAACAGACACAGCAGATGAACTTTTGACGTTTGCCACTCTCTGTGCTCCTTGGCCGTGGCACAGCTGTGTGCCAGAGGTGAGGTGTGAGGTCCCATTACGCCCAGCACCCCCACCTACCATACAGAAGGGCAAAACCCCAGCACAGAACCTCACACAACACCCAGCCCTGCTCGGGTAGTTTTCCAGCCCTGGGTCAGTACAGAAATCTGGTGAGGTGGCAACAGCTGATGTTGCTGTGGATCCCTTTTTGCTGCCAGTTTGGTGGTGGCTGCGATGCGCTGCTCCTGTCCACAATGACACAGTGCTCTTCACTTTGGGGTGCAGCATGTTTTTTCTCAGTGAGTGGCACAGCTGCTCTGTGCTCCCTCTCGCTCAGCATTTCTTTTACCATTAATGCAAAGCAATGGCCTTTCTGGAGGAAAATACCCCCTCTTTAAGAAGGAGAAGCATAAAGCTGCCACTGAGCCCGTGCTCAGGAAATAAGCAAGATATGGAGAGAACAGGTGAGGGCCCGGGGAGCTCTGCTACCCCACGTGGGCTCTGTGCAGTGAGGATCCTGCAGCCCTGCTCAGCTCCCTCTGAGCTGTGTGGGATACATGAGGCAGTGCTGTGATTCTATCAGCCAGGAATCCAGGCTCGTTACGTGATTGCAAATTGTTTCTGGATTTCATTAAATCAGTAAACGGGCATTAGCTGGATATTTACATCAGCTCAACTTGCA